GGGCCCTTATTTTGGGGTTTGAGTAAAAGAATCTCGAAGTTCTGGACCTGCAGCCTTTCCTGTGGGTTTTGCCTGTTTAGCAAATCCCTGCCCAGAGCAGGAGGGCAGGGGTGGGAGCCCCCCAACCCTGGGTCCCGGGCTCCCAGCTGGGCGTGTCCTACACCAACCCGCCCTCAGGTACCCGGAGCCTCCCTGCCAGGACCTCCCAGCTCAACCCCACCCCCACAGGCTGGAGAGGCACCGAACCAAATTTCTGGGTCCAGGCCCACATCCTGCCCCCACCCCCAACTGCAAGGAGTTTCCCCCCAACCACATCCTGGCTCTGATCGCAGCGGTGGGACCCCCCTCTGGCTGCAGGTGACCCCCAGGCGGGGACTTCCCAGTAGCAGACAGACCCCCACGTCCCCGCTCAGCCCCCTCAGCTGCAGCAACGCCGCGCCCGCCGGACACACTGGGGCGCCGGCCATGGCAGCCTGAGGCGGGGGGGAAACTGGGGGGAGCAGGCTCCCATGTCCCACATGGTGCTTCACGCTGGGTGGTTGCAGGCCCTCCGGCCAGCAGAATGAGGGGAGCTGGTGGGAGGGGGGAACAGGCGTCCAGCTGGAGAGACCCGTGGGCCGGGGCGGGGTGCAGGTCGAGAGTCACAGGTGCAGCAGTGACCACGGACTCCCTGCTGGGGAGAAACACCTACTGCTACGGAGGGGGGTCATGCTGCGTGCTCTGGACGAGGGACTGTTGTCCTCCAGGGCTGGCCTGGGGGGCAAACGGAACCCAGAGGAGAGGCCCCCAGCCCAGGCTGGCCCAGCCCATCAGCACCCTGTGGTCCTGGCACCGAGGCTGCCCTGCAAGCATGGGCTCCGAGGGTGGCCGGGGCTGGGGCCCGCCAGGCGACCGACTCCGGACCTCAGGACCCCAAGTGCAGCCCCCTGCGGCAAAGCCCGGCTGTGTGTCCCCCCCAGGATGGGAGGGTCCAGAAAACAGTGTTTAAACAACTCACATTTCAGGGAAAAGAAGTCACTCCTCCGGCCGAGAGGGAAACAAGGACCCTTAAGGCCCCAGGCCGCCGGACACACCCCTGCCCAGGGCCCTGCCAAGCACCACCCAGGGCACTATGCCCAAGGGGGGAGCCCCAGAGGCCCGGGGGGGCTGAGAGCGCAGTGAGGGGCGCTCGGCCACAGTGACACACACACAGACACACACACACTGGCTCACAGGTCCGAAGGTGGTCTAAACTCAGAGTACTGTGTGAATGAGCAAAACGCTGCAAAGGCGCATGGATGGCGGGGCGGCGAGGCGGGCTTCCGGGGAACACAGCGGCACCACGTTTCAACAAGGGGTCTCCTGACACACACTTGCCTCTGGGCTCCTTCTGGAGTAACTCACACAGGGGCTTCCGGGACTCAGAAACCCCAGCCCTGCGGCCGCAGAGAACACACCAAGAACTCCGCTCGGGCCGGGCTGCTGGGGACGGGGGCCCGGTCCTGTCCGTGTGGTGATGGCCCTGGGGTGGGGGGCAGGTCCAGCCGGGTGACAGGGGCTTGTGGGGGCCCTGCTGAGAGCACTGGGCACCTCCTCAGACGGTCCTGCCTGCGGGGACAGGTGGGTGGGGTCCACTCTTGGAGACAAAATTCTGCTTTTTAAATGCGCAGTGAGGCTGACTGCTTAGCTCAGTGCTCAGAGGTGAGAGCAGGGGTAAGAGAAGACTGTGTCCGTGTGCGCGTGGCCAGGACAGAGTAGCGTGACTATGGAGAAGCCCCAGGATGTCCCTGGTGGTCCAGAGGCTAAGATTCCATGCTCCCCATGCAGGGGGCCCGGGTTCCATCCCCGGGTGGGGAACACGATCCCATGGGCTGCAACCAAGACCCAGCACAGCCAAACAAAAGAACGGAGGAGGCCTGCCACCCTGAACCCCCTCCTCACTCCTCATCGTTAACCACAGCTCAGCTTCACTTGCGGACCCTTGCAGAAAATGACGCTCGGGTCACAGGAGGCTCCTGGCGGGTCGCAGGAGAAAGTGGGCAGGTCAGACATCTGCCCGTAGCCAGTGCATGCGGCCTGGAATCCATGGAGAGCACAGGGCCTGACCTCGGCCCCTCGCCTGGATGCAGGGACATGGCCTGACTCTTCACCTGCCCGGGTCCCAGGGCCGCGCTCCTGGTCGTCAGAAGGTGACGGGGCCAAGCCTCTCTGACCCCCAGGGGACCAGCCTGGTCCTGCCCTGGGACACACGTCCTGCCCCGGGACACACGTGCTCCCAGGGGGCCCCCAGCCCTCTCTCCCAGCTGCCGTATCACCAGTCCCCCGAGAATACGGCTTCCGGCCAGGCCACCTCCTCATTCGCCCATCCTCTCCGCCCCAACCAGGAAGGGCCTAGGGGTCCCAGGAGGGGCTGGAGGAAGGGTTGCCCAGGGTGGGGGCAGCTCCTGCAAGGAGCACCCAGACTTGGGGGAGAGGGCGGGGCCTGGTCTGTGTGCCTGTGGGGGTGGGGCACCGGGGCCACCGAAGATGTGAATCAGACCTCTGTCTGGTGAGTGGAGCGTCCCCGCTCCCCTTCCCGAGGGGCCCCCCCAGCTAACGCTGCATCCAGACGAGCCCCCAGATACCTGCTGCTGCTCTGTTATCAGACCAAGACCACCCGCTCCTGGGTGATCAGGCTGCACGCAGGGCCCCTGGACAGGCCTGTCCCTGGACTCACCCTCCTGGTGACCCCTGGGGCCCAGTTCCAGGGTGTTCGGGAAACCAGGCTGCCGTCCAGGAAGTAAACTCTCCGCGACACCGGTGCAGGGGCTCAGAAATGGGGAAGCATCAGAGCTGCGGGGCATGCTCGCCTGGGGCTTCCAGCGGGAAGTCCCCAGACCTGGGGGCGGGTGCAAAAGACCACTGCCCGACTGCGAAGCAACACCACCTCCACGCGAGGGCCCGACGGACCACGAGTCACAGCTCTCGGATCTCAACTTGCTGTTTTTCGTCCCAAGAGATGCTTAAGCTCCTCACTAAATCTGCCGTTAAGTGACAGATGGGTGCAGGGGTCATTAATCCCCAGAGAGGCGGCAGCCCCTCCCCCCGCAGCAAAGGCCAACAGGTAAACACAAACGCTGGCCTGGTCAGTCCCAACTCAGGATGAAGGGAGGCGAGCTTCCGAGCGGCCTTGGGTCGTCCCGGACATCGAGGGATCTGTTTGTGTTCTGATTTGCAGAGGAAGGCTGCCCTTGCGCGGACAGGCCAGTCGGCTCTGCAAACTGTACCACAACTAACCACACGAAGGGGAAAAGCCGTGTGGAACGCTGCTGGCGAAAAGCAAAACGTTTCCACGGACTGGCACGGGGACGGTCCGTGGACCACACACCCCGCATCAGGCCTGGCGCCACAGGCCTCTGGACAGAAACACGGACTGGGTCCCAACCCTGCCTGGCAACCAGGGACGCACCAAGGATGCCTGCCCTGCCCGGAGGTGAGAACACGGCCCGCCTGCTCTTCCCGGACCTCAGCCACACGCCGCGGAGAAGGGCCAGGCCGGAGCCTCCGGGGCCCACGTTGCCCATGAGAAGGCTGGGCCTTCTCGCCCTGCCCACCTCTGCCCCTCAACAGCCAGCTGGCTCTCGCGGGGACTCCCCACCCCACGGGGGGCAGCGAGCACAGTCCTGGTCAGCACAGAGCTGTCCTCCGGGCACCTGCGGGAAGGGGGCAGCCAGCAGGGACACGGAGGAGGCCCCCCAGGGCAGAGGGGACTCCCTCCTAGGGGGCCACTTCACCCCAGAGCTCCCAGAGGGAGGCGCCAGGGACCACAAGGGTAGGCACAGGCCCCAGAGCCAGCGGGGACAGCCCTGTCCCTTCACGTCACCAGGAGGACTGCCGCTCTGTCCCCCCCCCCACCCCGCCCTGCAATCTGCCGGTTTCTGCCCCACTGACAATCACCAGGCCCGCCAAATTGGCAGTTAGAGAAAAAGGAAGGTGTCTGGGGAAATGAGCACCTTAGACTGACTTCAAGAACTTTTCACTTTAACATTACTTCAAATGAATTACCCTACAAGTTAAAAACCCCAATCTCCCCACAAAAAAGCTCTCACGGATGGAGGTGTGCTCCCCACCGGCTGGATCACCGGGGATAACCAGGAACGCTCTGCTCCTCCTACTGGTAGTTCTGGAGGCAGACAGGCCGGCCCGTGAGCAGTCCTACAGACCAGGCACACACAGCTCACAAGCAGAGTCCGCACGGTCCACTCGGAGGCCCCACCAGGCAGAGAAGCAGCCCGCCAGGCCGGGGGCGGGGGAAGGCAGGACAGATGGTGAGGGGCGCCCCCAAGCGCCCCCCAGTCGGGGCCAGAGCGGCCCACAGGCAGAGCGAGCGGGACGCAGGCGCCTGGGCTGCTCACCAGGCTGGACCTGCTTGTGTGCAACCCATTCAGGCCCCGGACAAGCACCAGGATCCCCCAGGACAACCTGGAACCGGGGCAGGCCAGAACCCCCCCAAACCCCTCTGCTAGTTTCCCCAGGACCCCAGAGTCCGCCCCCACCGCTGCTGTACTGACTGGGGACCAGCGAGGTCCCCACACAGGAAGCGCATCAAGCAACAAACACATCCAGGGGGAGCCGCTCCGGTTCGGCGCGGGGCCTGCACGCGGCGGGAGTGGCGCCCGGACAGGGGACCGCGCGGCGTCCACCCACCGGGGACTGGCTCCGAGGCCGGGGTGCAGGGCCCAGGGAAAAGGGGTACGGGGGCGTCCAGGGATCGGGGAAAGGGGGACGAGCCGGATGCGGGGACCTGGGGAAGGGGGATGAGGAGCCAGCTTCCAGGCGCCGGTGGCGGGAACCGGGGATGGGGCGCGGACGGCGGGGGATGAGCGCTGCGGGTCGCAGGGAAGGGTGGCGGTCGCGGGCCCCGGGGAGCGCGCTGCTGGGCCGCGCCCAAGGTCCCCCTCCCGGCCCCCTCCGGCCGCGCATCCCTGAGCCTCGGCGCGGCCCCGGGCCCAGGGCGGCCTGGGCTCACGGCGGACACCCACCTGGGCCTTCTGCAGGGCGCCCAAACGCAGCTCGTGCACGAAAGGGTTCCGCCCCGGGGGCGCCTGCCGCCGCGCGTCGCCGACCCCCGCGCTGGAGGAGGGGGCGGCGCGAGGATCGCGTCCCCGGAGCCTCATGGCCGCGCCGCCCGCCGCGAGGGGCGCGGGGCGCCGGGCCGGGTGCGGAGCTGGGCGCGGGGCGCGGGGCGCGGGGCGAGGATGCGCGGCGGCTGGAGCGGGCTGGGCGCGCGGCCGCGCAGGCGCGGGAGGGGCGGCTGCATGACGTGGGCGGGCGGGGCGGGGGGCGAGGGGCGGGCGGGCCGGGGAGGGGCGTGTGCTGGCCCCGCCCCGCGGGCGCCCAGAGGCCGCCCCCGCGCCCCGCGCCCCGCCCGCCCCGCGCCCGGCTTGGCGCCCGGGGCCCAGCTCCCGGTCTGCCCAGCGAACCGCTGGGGGCGGGTCCCGAGCGGTGCCGAGGCCCTGGCCGAGAGCCCGTCGCGGCGGCGGGACCACAGAGGGACTCGTCCCCTGGGTCCCCGCCACGTTGTCCCTTCCGCTGCTCAGGGCGCCCACCCGGGGCGCGGCCGGGAGAGGAGGCGCCGTGCAGCCACGTGGGGGCGGCCGGCGCGGCCGGCACTCGCTCCCCGGGCTGGGGGCGCCGAGCCTCCGGGCTGTCCCCTCGGACCCCGAGGAACACCTCTGGGCCGCGCCTGGCCAGGCCGCGCGTGTGAGGTCCGCTGCATGCCCGCCGAAGACCCCGGTCCTCCTCAGATGCGCCCCGCTGCGCTGCTTGATCCTGCCTGCCCGGCTCTGGGCTGGGGACCAGCGGCCCCGAAGGGCAAGCCTCATCCCAGACGCCTGGGGTCCACTCCGATCACAGGGTCCAGGCGTTTGCTGACTCGGACCCAGTGGTTCGAGAAGGGGGTAATGACTGTAGTTCTTGGCATGACCTTGTGGGTGAAGGGGGGACATTGGGGTCCCTGGCTCATGGTGGGCGCAGTGCTAACTGGGGTAAATGCAAAGTACACCCTGTTCAAAATCTATAATTTCAAAGTTGCCACAGACCCTTAGTGTCGCGAGCAGCTGCGTTTCTGCGGGTTTGTCCATGCGGCCCAGACAGCGGAGATGGAGGGGGCCAGGCGGTGAGGGCGCGATGAGGAAGGACCAGCTGGCACGTGGACGCCTGAAACCACAGCCCCGCCTGGCTGGCCTTCTGCAAAGGCCCGGGCTCCGGGCCACTCTGGGCCTGGGCGGTGAGTCAGGCAGTGGTCGGCTCTCTGATGACCCATCGGATGCCGTCTCCAGGTGACGTGGTGAAGACTCGCCATGCTGAAGGCCCTTTTGTGTTTCCATGGAGAGACGCTGGGGGGAGGGAGCCCCCCTGAAGTCTCTGGTGTTCTACAGGAGTTGTTAGTACAGAAGGCAAAGTGCAGGTTGGGTCCAGGCTTCTCCGAAGCCTCACACTTCGCCTGGGTGAGTGACCACACCTCAGAATCTCGGGAGTCACACCTGTAAGAGGCCAGCGGAGCAGTGGCTGACCACACAGAAGCCCTGGGCGCCATGCTGGACCTGGTGTGCTGCTGGGCACAGGGGAAACTCTGAGGCCATCAGCCCTCTGCTGACCTCCTGGACATTAAGTTGCCAGTTGTTCTGACGGCGGGGAGGGCTGGTGGGACAGTGCAGGGGTCTGGGCAGGCAGAGGGGAAGGGAGCGGAGGCGCATCCCTGTTGCCCACAGGCCGAAGCCTGCTGGCCCCGAGTGGCTGGGGAGGGTGGAGGGCCGCCCTCCAGGAGAGCTGGGCTGGGGAGTGAGGCGTGAGTCTGGGGTCATCCCCTTGGGAGGACTGGCCAGGATAGAGCTGGGATGGCCACTACGTGGTTGTCAACACGGTGGAGACCCGCCTGCGGTGGGCAGTGGGGAAGCTTGGCTGGACGAGCAGGCAGGAGGTGGAGGCCTGGGGAGGGGGGTCAGGATCCAGGGGGTTAGGCTCCCTGGGGAAGGTCTGGGAGGAGGCAGAAAGCCAGCCCCATACAGGGGAGGTGGAAACCCTGAAGGGTCCCAGACCAGGGGAAGGGGTTGGGGGGAGCCTTTGGGGGTGAGGGTCCCCCGTGAGGGAGCTGGGAACTGGGTGGGGCTGGGACAGGGGCCGGGAAGCTCGCCAGCTCACACTGGTTGCTCCCAGGTGGGCTCCGATTCTCATGGTGTGGTGGAAGTTTGCAGAAGCTTGGTCGGGAGAGCTGCTCTTGGTGGGCAGTTACAGCAGTTCCTTTCGGTGGACGAGGAAGAAAAGCCTCAACTATCTTTGGGCCCTCACTTCTTGGTTTTGGTGAAACCGCCTGGTGTGTCCCTGAACCACTGAAGCCCGTCACCTGGGACCTCCAGGACCCTCGGACCCAGGGGCGCTGACTGTGCTCCGGGGACGCAGCTCTGTCCTGCTTGTGCCTGCTCGGGCTGGAGAGGTGATCCACCTCTGGCTCCAGGTCCACCGAGAGCGCACGCGGGCTTCGCCTGTTCCTGGGGGGTGGGGTGGGGGTGGGGGTTTGTTTATGTTTTGAATTCTAGAGTTATTTAAGGAAGAGGAAGAGAGGTCCTTTCATTTTGTTCCAATGTTTGTTTTTAGTTCTGCCCTTCGGAGTTGTTTCTAACCCATTTACAGGTTTTTCTTCTCCGCCTGGGACACGGATACTCTCAACACTGTTGATCAGTCTCTCCTCCTGTTGTCCTGCTTTGGGTATGAACAGAAGTGTCCGTATAAAGCTATTTCTGGATGCTCTATTTTACCACATTGGCTTGTTCCTGAGCTGGTTCCACACTGTTCTAGTCTCTCTACCTGTGGTCCCCACTAGAAGGAATTCCACTTGGTGTTTCAAGAACTCTCTTGGGACTTCCCTGACTATCCAGTGGTTAAATATCCGCCTTCCAATGCAGGGTACACAGGTTCGATCCCTGGTGGGGAAACAGATCCCACCTGCTGCAGGGCAGCTAAGCCTGCATGCAGCCTCTGAGCCTGCACGTCATGGCGAGAGATCCCCAGTGACGCAGTGACGATCCCACATGCTACGACTGAGACCCAGTGCAGCCAAATTAAAAAAGAAGAGCTGTCTTAGTGATTCGTAGAAATTAGTTTTTCCATCCAAATATAGAATCGGTTTCATGACTACAGCCACAAAATTAAAAGGCGCTTACTCCTTGGAAGAAAAGCTAGGACAAACCTGGACAGCGTATTAAAAAGCAGAGACATCGCTTTGCCGATAAAGGTCCCTGTTGTCAGAGCTGTGGTTTTTCCAGTGGTCATGTATGGATGTGAGAGTTGGGAAGGCTGAGTGCTGAAGAACTGATGCTTTTGAACTGTGGTGCTGGAGAAGACTCTTGAGAGTCCCTTGGACTGCAAGGAGATCCACCCAGTCCATCCTAAATGAAATCAGTTCTGAATATTCATTGAAAGGATTGATGCGTAAGGTGATGCTCCAATACTTTGGCCATCTGATGGGAAGAGCTGATTCATTGGAAAAACCTTTATGTTGGGAAAGATCAAGGGCAGGAGGAGAAGAGGGTGACAGAGGATGACAGAGGATGAGACTGTTGGATGGCATCACTAACTCAATGGACTTGAGTTTGAACAAAGTCCAGGAGATGGTGAAGGACAGGGAAGCCTGGTGTGCGGCAGCCCATGGGGTCACAAAGAGTGGGACAGGACTTAGCTTTGGAACAACATAGAATCAGTTTATGTAGTCACCCAAAACTCCCACTGACAGTTTTGTTTTGAATTGCATGAAGTGTTTATATTACTTTGGTAAGAATGTGTTATAAGGGGACCTGGACTTTGTCTTATGCTTGGTAAGATACACAGATGCAGGAAGACGGGCGTGGAGGAAGAAGCGTGGCCCAGGGGTCCCCGGGGACAGGAGTGGTGACAAGCCTCAGGACCCCCGGGAAGCTGCTCAAGAGGCTGAGGGTGAGGAGGAAGTGAGGACCAGTCCCTCCCTCGTGGTGCCCGTGGGCGGGCACGGGCCGGGTGAGGTCAACGGGCTCAGAGTTGGCTGGTGTGGGTCACTTCCCTGGGTCCTGGTGCTCGTCCCGGTGGACTGCCGCTGGCTGTGACAGCGGCCGCGAGTCTGAGCCCCGTGGCGGAGGGCTGGGTGTGGGCTCTGGCTTGGCCTGGCTGCGCTGGAAGGATGACCCCACGGAAGGGGCCCTAAGGGTGGCCCTTCAGAGTCAGCCGGGCCCCGAGACATCAAAGTGTGCTGAGCCGCTCGGCCGTGTCCGGCTCGTGCGACCCTGTGCACTGTAGCCCACCAGGCTTCTCTGCCCAGGGGATGTTCCAGGCAAGAATATTGGAGTGGGTTGCCATTTCTTTCTCCACAAGACATCAAAGTATCTGTATTAAAAGACAATTAATGCAAAAGATACAGACCCTTTGCAACTTTGAGCATTATCTTTCACCAGTATGATTATTCTTCCATTTATATTGGTCTTCTTTTAATTTTTTGATAGCATATAAATTTTTTCTACATAAAGATTCTGCATTTTCTTAGACTGATTCCTGGATATGTTGTAATTTTGCAGTTGTAAAGTAAAGGAATCTTGTTTCTTATTCATTTTTCTAATTGTTCCTGACTCACATGAAGGAACAGTACTGACTGTTGACCTTGAAGATTGAGTGAGGTTAGTCAGGGGCCCTGTGGGGGTTCCTGCAGCCCCCTACTCCCCCACCGTCACAGCTGAGTGAGGGACCCCAGCCTGTGCAGGGCACAAACCTGCAGGGCAGGAAAACCACAGCCTCGCAAGAAGCAGTGAGTCCCTGAGCGTTGGTGTGGTTTCTGAGTATCAACAATGTTCTTCAAAAAGGATGCTTTGAATTTTGATGAAGCCTGGTTTATGTGTGTCTTGATGGATCATGCTTTGCTATCGTGTGAGGCCCTGTGGAGAGGATGGAGGCAGACGCTTACGTTCTTTTCTCTCGGGGTATCCAGCACCATTTCTTGATGAGACCGTGCCTATCCCTTTGACTCACCTTGGCAACTTTTGGCGTGAATCTGGGGTTCATTTCTGGACCCCATGTCCCGTTTACCTGTACGCCGACAGCCTTTGCTAACATCACATTGCCTTGATCACTGGAGCGTGGTGCTAAGTCTGGAAATTAGATCACGTGGGTCCTGCAACCTTGTTCCTCTTTGTCAGGGTTGTTTTCCCTCTTCCGGAGCCTTTCACTTCCTTTATAAATGTTACAATCAATTTGTTAATGTCTCAAAACATCTGCTGGGGGATTTTGATGAGATTTTTGTTGAATCTACTGATTAATCTGGGAAAATCAATATCTGAGTAACACTGTTGCCTGTCCCTGAACATGGTATATATGTCACTGATTAAGGTTTTCTTTAATTTTTCTCAGCAGTGTTTTATAACTTTTGCTTATCACTTATAGGTCTTGCCTATGTTTTTCTAATTCTGCCCCTAAGTGTTTTATGTTTTGATGCCCTTGTAAATGGGACTTTCTTTTCTTTTCTGTTTTTCTTGACTGCCCTTTGCAGCTTTTGTGAGATCCTAGTTCTCAGACCACGGATGAACCTGGGCCCCGGCAGTGATGGCGCCGGGTCCTAACCACTGGGCCACCAGGGAAGCCCCAACTGGGGCTGCACTTTAATTTTGGTCTCTGCGAGTGCGCAGCCAGTATAGACGAGCGCAGCTGAAGTCTGCGTGTTTCATCTGTGCGCTTCTACCTTGGTGAGTTCACTGACCAGCTCTGACGGCGTGTTTGCAGGACTTCCCCGTTCCCGGTCACGCTCCCTGTGAGTCTCGGGAGTTTTACATTCCCCTCGGAACACGGCGCCCTCTGTTCTTATTTTCTGTCACCTCACTGACTGCGGCGTCAGGTTGCGATGCTGAGCAGCGGTGGGGCCTTGTTGACAGTCTTGGGAAACGCGTCCCATCTCGACCTCAGCCGTGGGTTTTCATGGCCACCTTCAGTAAAGTCTAGGATGTCCCTTTCTAGTCCCAGCTGGAGCGGGCTGAGAATGTCTGTCATTTTGTCAAAGATCTATCATACAGCTTTTCTGCTTAGTCCCCCTAATATGCTGAATTAAAGGGGCTGACATTCCAACCGTAAAGCAACCTTGTTTTTCTGGACAGCCCCTACTTGGTCATATTTATTCTTATTTTGAGTTCTGTCCTTCATGGTTGTTGTTTTTTTTTTTTTAATCCATCATTTTTAAGTGAATCTTGCATTTTAATGTCATACCTAAAAATGTCTGTGCTTAACAGGGACCTTATTTCCCCGCCCAGGGCTCAAACCCGAGACCCTTGTACTGCACGGCAGGTCCCTAACCACTGGGCACCCGGGAAAGCCCCCGTGAGCTCGCTTTTTATGTGATGCGAGATGGTTCATGTTTTTGCACATGGCATACGTGATTCCGTATGATTTATTGTAAAGGCTGTCCTTCCCCATAGACCTGCCTTTGTATCTTTGTCAGCAGTCCACCGCACACCTGTGCTTCTGTTTCAGGACTGTCTGGGTGACATCACCCATCATGACTGAGTGAACAATAACAGTAGCTGATGTACAATATTGTGTTAGTTTCCAATTTTTCCCCCAATAATTGAAGAATTGATGCCTTCAAACTGTGGTGCTGAAGAAGACCCTTGAGAGTCCCTTGGACTGCAAGGAGATCAAACCAGTCAATGCTAAAGGAAGTCAACACTGAATATTCATTGGAAGGACTGATGCTGAAGCTGAAGCTTTAATGATTTGGCCACCTGATGCGAAGAGCTGACTCACTGTAAAAGACCCTGATGCTGGGAAAGACTGAAGGCAAAAGGAGAAGAGGGCAACGGAGGGTGAGGTGGTTAGACAGCATCACCGACTCAATGGATATGAATTTGAGCCAACTCCAGGGAAGCCTGGTGCGCTGCAGCCCATGGGGTTGCAAAGAGTAGGACACAGCTAAGCGACTGAACAACAAAACAAGATATTGAACACAGTTCCCTGTTATGCAGGAAATGCTTGTTGGAGAATGTCCATCTTGATTGTTCGTTGCTAGTACATAGGAACACAATATATTGCTCGTACAGATTCTGTGTCATGATACAACCAGATTAACTCGCAGGTTCTAGCCTCTTCGTCATAGGCTCTGTTTTTCTAAACAGAAGATCACGTTCTCTGCAAATGAGGACAGTTTCACTCCTCCCTTTGTCTTCCTCTCTCACTGTTGGGCTCATGAGTGTGACTTTGGGCAGATGTGGTGGCGGTGGACAGAGCTGTCTTTTCCCGCACAGGCTGACATATAGTCCTTTTCTTACACTGTTGGCTTCTGTTCGCAGACATTTTAAAGATTTGTATCCATATTCACAAATGCTGTTGCCTCCTTTCCTGTAACATCCAGGTCTGGGTTTGGGATCAGAGTGACGCCAGCCTTTCGACAGGGTTTTCAGCTCTCTGGAAATTCTGGAAGCATTTGTATGGAGCCGGCATCGTCTCTTCTTTAAAAGTTTGGTGGAATTTCCCATGAAGTCCTCTGGGTGTGCAACTTTCTTTCTGCAAGTTTTTTAGCTTGGATTCAGTTTCCTTTATAGCTGTAGGGTAGGGTCTGTGGGTCTCCAATCTCTTAGAAAGACTCCAGTCATTGATGTATGGCTCTCTCTAAACCCAGGGGCCTCTCATCTTGAGGTCTTACTTTAATCACATCTGCAAAGACACTGTTTCTAAATAAGGTCACACTTCTCCCAGGGTACCGGGTGTCAGGACCTGGATACGTCATTCTGAGGGGGTAGAGGGGTGGGGGGAGGGACAGTCCAGCCCACTGCAGCCAGCTAATCTCGGGGGATTTTTGGCAAAATGCATGAATAGATGTTAAGGGTGGAATACAGCCTGTGTTGGCTCTGTGTGGCCCCTCGGGCCGTCCCCTCCGTCACCCGGCCGAGGTCAGGCTCGGGGTTCCTTGCCTGTAGGTTGGGCATGGTCACCTCAGTGGAAGCAGCTCAGCAAAGACGACCGTGTCCCAAAGTGACCTTTCTGCACCGGCCCCCGCAAAGCCTCAGGGAGTCATGGGACGCGCCGGCCCTGGACGAGCTCTGCCGTGGGTCTAGGGGCCCCTCCTGCTCTGGGGCCTGGGGTCACCACAGCTCCCCCCCCAAACACTCTCTCCCTGTTCCCTTCACCCTGTGATCCCTTTGGTGCGTTTTCCGTACACGTCCGACCATAACGTGCCCAGCCACCCGGTTCACGGCAGTGTTTCTCGTTTCTCCAAACCACATATCTCACCCGCCGGAGCTGCCCCGGGCACCCACCGGCTATCCAGTCCTTGGTATGTTCAGAGTGAGGAGGTGTCTGGGTGGCAAAACCCCCGAGAGCCAGGGGGGCTCCCTCCCCAGGACCCCTCCCCAGGGCAGGGGGGCAGAAGGGGACGGTGTGGGCGGGTGTGCTTCTAAGGCTCTGAAGGAGCCCCTGTTGTGCTTTCTTATTCAACTTGACACTGATGCAATCTGAAGGAAGAAAAGAAAATATTACCTTTTGGGGACTGCCACCTGTCAACACAGGAGGCTGATAAACGTCAGCCAGCCGAGAATTCTCGCACGTACCTGCGGGTGTCTAGTGCTCCGTGGAGACAGCCGTTTTCTCTGTGCTCATTTCAGTCTCAGAGAGCACAATCCAATATGGAAACACAAGGAAAGTACTGCTTTTGTGCACTAGGGAGCTGACGTTAGCTGATGTCTCCTTAAAAATACACAGCTCCCTCGGTGTTTCCTAGGTTCTGGGTGGATGGCCTTCAGGCCCTCCCTACCCCGCAGACCTGGCGGCGACGAGGATGGGCCCGGGAAGTCTCTGTCTCAGGCAGAGCCGGGCTGCCCCGGGGGCTGCCGGCCTGACCAGCGTCTTGGTCCCCTGTATTGGTTCGGTGCCCGCAGCTCAGCTGCTCCCTGGTACCTGGGCGATCCTAGGACCTCTGGGGGCGGCAGGACGGTGGAGGCACCTTTTCTGGACTGTGGGCCCCATGGGCTGGAGCGGCTCCACCCTGGAGCACCCTGAAAGCACTGCCCGCCGTCCCAGAGCCGCTCCTGCCGCCCACTTGGCCCACCCCGGTCCCTCAGCGCCTGGACGTTCGAGCGCATCTCTCCGCTGACCCTGCTCCTTCTTAGCCTTCCCGCTCGGGCCCCCACATGCCCCTGGAGTGTCTGTGCACTCGCCCTGGGCTGGCGCGCCCCCCGCCTTGTCCACCCCGACAGCACCTTCCCCAGTCTCCCTCATCCCTCCTGGCCTCTCTTTCCTGCCCGCCCGTCCTCCACGTACCTCTCACCTGGACCAGGTCAGAGCCATTTCACAGACACGAAAATCGCAGCCCAAGAGATGGTGGCTGAGATCCGAGCCAGGGCCGGTGAAGGTCGAAGCTGCTTCCTCCAGCGGACGTGCCGTGGCGGTCCGTGTCCTGAGTCACCTGTCCCTGCAGGTTGCCTTCCGGAGAGAGGTCCTGCCTCTATAGCACGTGGATTCCAGGCAAGACTGTTTTCCTCAAACATAAAGACCCTGGACCTCAAGTCAGGATCTGGATACTTGACACAATGCTATATCTTATGTGTAGTGTTCAGCTGTCATTTAATATTCAGGTGAGCACTTACAGTCCATGTGGGGTGACACTGATGCTGCAGCTGGCGATCAGAAGCCTCTTTCTCGGAGATGCAGGGCCCTTGGAATTTGTCTTGTCATCACCACACCCTCCCCCTTAGCAGCATCACCTGTTCCATTTTGGCACTGAGCAAGTGCGCCTCAGTTTGGAACGTGAGCCGAGATGAGGCTCTCTTCTGTGGGCCTCGGCGCAAACTAGATTTTGAAACTCAGAGGCACAGCTTCTTCACACATTGCAATTGCAGAACAAATGTTTGCATGTAATTTTGCTTCCCAAAATGTCAAAAAAAGCAAAATATGAAAACATATTCTCAAAGGAGTGATCTCTTATGAAAAAATTGCTTACAGTATTTCTTTCCAGTTGGCATCGAGAAATACTGTGTTGAAATATTTTTATAGTTGAAGTTGCAAAGAGAGACCTCACGTTTCAGAAGAAGGGCATGTTCCTAAAGGAGGCGATTCACTGTGAGGAGGGGCAGAGGCCAGCCCACACCTATACTCGGCTCCTTAGCAATAGAACACACACATTTCAGAGGGAAGCTTGGCCAGCCAGGGTGAAGACTGCATTCCCTGGCCTACCTGCCAGTTAGCTGTGATCACTATAAGCTCTGGCAGCAGATGGGATGCAAGCACAAGATTTGTGGAGCTTGAAGGGTGAATGTAATGAGAGGGTGCTTTCCTCCTGGTTGGAAAGTGAGTGTAATGGCTGGAGCCACAGCATCCATATTGGGACATGAAACAATTTTTTGCATGCTAGCAGACCAATCTGAGAGAAGAAACCCAAGTCCTGGACCACATGAAGGATGCTCCCAATCTTCTGTGGCTACTGTTGGCAGTTATGGTTGTGAGAAGAAGTAAGCTTCTTTCTTGAAGTTATTGTTTGGGATTTTTCTGTTACTTGCACATAAACTTAATCCTAATGAATATAGATGCTTGGACTAAAAAAAAAACCCAGGCCAAAAAAAAAACCCAAAAAACCCCACACACAAATGAAGCCTAGGCGAAACCCATGAGATGTGTGTTTGATCTTTTCTGTGTGGACATAGATTTAGGTATTGGTCTTTGTGCATTGATGTAGAAACCCCTTAAGCCCCTCTGAACGTGACTTCTCCTGCTTCTTCTCCAATCCCCTTGCTGTTTCTCTTCCCAGTTCCTGTAAGACCTTCTGGCCTGGCTTCCGTCACCCTTTCCCACACCACTTCACTCCCCAAAGGCCACCCTGCTCTCCTTCAGGAGGGCCTTCTTCCCTGGGTGGTCTGACATCTCCTGAACCTTTTTATTCACTTCAAAGATCTAGAACACTGTCAGGCTTCAGGAGATATTTCTCAAAGAAATATGCCTCCTTCACTCTCAGCTTCTGAGATATTTTGGTAATATAATATTGTTTGAAAGAGAATAGACTCACTTGGAGACCTGAAAAGTTTCTTCTGGAAGGTGCAGTGACATGTATCTTCATCCTATTGATCTAACTAGCACATAGTAGGTCCCAAGCTCTGGCTGGGAGGGGGAGCCTGGGGTGTGAATGTGGGTCTGCCCCCAGCCGGGGGTAACACCTGCATTGTCACAGGTGGGCCCAGCAGGTGCATGGGGGAAAGAGGTGCCGGAAAGGTCCAGAAACTTGAAGAAGGGAGAAGCATCTCCTGCTGGAGGGTCAGGGAGTTCTTGGAGGAGGAGTGGACTCTTGAGGAAATCTGGAAAGAGGCCCAGGAGGAGGGCAGTGAGTGGGGAGGTGAAGACACCGTCCACTCAGGCCCAGTGGGTGGAGGTGGGGTCCATGCAAGCCAGCCCCCGCCCTCACTGTACTCCTCTCACGGGTACATGAGTGTGGGGCATCCGGTCCTCAGCAAGGCCTCTTGCACAGGTGGTGGAACCATATTCCCTTCTCAGCCTGGAGGAGGGGGCACAGCAGGTGTGCACTCTGCACGTGCTGCTCACAACCTGTACCTGCGCACGCCTGTACCTGCGCACGCCTGTACCTGTACCTGTGCACGCCTGTACCTGTGCACGCCTGTACCTGTGCACGCCTGTACCTGTACCTGTGCATGCCTGTACCTGTGCATGCCTGTACCTGTACCTGTGCACGCCTGTACCTGTACCTGTGCATGCCGGTACCTGTACCTGCACACGCCTGTACCTGTACCTGCGCATGCCTGTACCTGTACCTGCGCACGCCTGTACCTATACCTGTGCATGCCTATACCTGTAACTGCACACGCCTGTACCTGTACCTGTGCACGCCTGTACCTGTGCATGCCTGTACCTGTACCTGTGCACGCCTGTACCTGTACCTGTGCATGCCTGTACCTGTACCTGCACACGCCTGTACCTGTACCTGTGCATGCCTGTACCTGTACCTGCGCACGCCTGTACCTATACCTGTGCATGCCTATACCTGTACCTGCACACTCCTGTACCTGTACCTGTGCATGCCTGTACCTGTACCTGCACACGCCTCTACCTGTACCTGTGCATGCCTGTACCTGTACCTGCGCACACCTGTACCTATACCTGTGCATGCCTGTACCTGTACCTGCACATGCCTGTACCTGTACCTGTGCATGCTTGTACCTGTACCTGCACATGCCTGTACTTGTACCTGCGCACGCCTGTACCTGTGCACGCCTGTATCTGTACCTGCACATGCCTGTACCTGTGCATGCCTGTACCTGTACCTGCACACGCCTGTACCTGCGCACACCTGTACCTGTACCTGTACACGCCTGTACCTGTGCATGCCTGTACCTGTACCTGCACACGCCTGTACCTGTACCTGTGCACGCCTGTACCTGCACACGCCTGTACCTGTGTGTACCTGTACCTGCGCATGCCTGTACCTGTACCTGTGCACGCCTGTACCTGTACCTGTGCACGCCTGTACCTGTACCTGCTCACGCCTGTACCTGCACACGCCTGTACCTGTGTGTACCTGTACCTGCGCATGCCTGTACCTGCACACACCTGTACCTGTGTCTACCTGTACCTGCACACGCCTGTACCTGCGCACGCCACCCTCTTCACTCCCCTCTCCAGTGCACTGGCGCCCATGGCAGCCCTGGGGTTCACTTGGTACAAGAGGCTCTTGCTTCAGCAAACAGGGCGTCCTGCTGAGCGGAAGCACTTGGTCCCAGAACATCTCCCGAGTTGGCTCCTTGACATCGGGGTGTTGGTCACAGCGGGATCCGGGTTCCCATTCTCAGCACTTAAATTGCTAAGCTGGGAACTTGACCTGGAGCAGAGGGCTTCTATGAGCCTCTTGATCGTCAAGATTCATTAGAGGGGGTGTGGCTCCTGAGACAAGAGGTGGAAAGTGACTCCCTTGTTTGAGAAGGACTTCTGAGTCAGGGCTTTGAGTGTGTGACCTGGCGAGCAGCCCGGGTTGCCGGAAAGTGCGTTTAGTCAGAGTTGAAGCTGCACATGTTCCATGTCGTCTTGTGATTTGAGAGTGGCCTCCATCTAGAGCACATGCTGCAAACCCAGTCCTGCTGTCGTCTTCCTCGGGCTGCGCAGGAAACTTCCCCAGCAGCCGGCCGTGCCTGTCTGCTCGGCCAGGACAGACCCTCCTGACACGGGCAGGGTTGCCTTCTGGCGTCGGTCTCAGCAAGTCACCTCCTCCCACCCAGGTTCAGAGTTAAAGGATTATCCCGGAAGCCCTCTCGTAACCAGCGGTGACTCCACTGTGGGGACAAGCTGGCACAAGTCCCCAGTCTTTTTCAGTCACAGGCGTTACATTCTCTGCCGTGAAGAGACAGCAGTGTGGGGTCTGCCCTGACCTGGGGAGGACCCCCCCACCGCCTCCCTGTCCTTCCTCGTCTGTGAAGTAGGGATGAGTTTGAACCCTTCTGCGGGGTTCTGTGAGTCCCGAGTGAGGGCAGCTGGAAGGGTCTGGAAGGGCGCCTGGCGCAGCAGAGCTTCTGAAGCCCCCGAGGTCCCGTCAGGCTGGTCTGCCAGCCCCAGCGCGCCTGTCACGTAGCAGCGGGCGCTCGGGTGGGCAGGAACAGTCCCTGCATTCTCAGCAGGTTTGTCCTGATCAGGCAGGGAAGACACAGCATCCAGCGCTTTGTGAAGCTTAGGGAGTTGGCCCCTGTTCTCTGAGCGTCGGGTCCGAGACGGCAGAAGGGGTTTTGTGGGAAGTCAGATGTGACTTTTGCTACTGACTCCACTGCTGGGGGAAGCGGCACTGACGCCATGTGTTTAGGAGAGAGTCTCTGTTCCCACAGGAGACTCCGCGCGGGGCTTCCCCGTGGGCATCTCCCACCTTCTCTCTGAGCAAACAACTCCGCCACGTTTGCACGGGGTCCCGCGGGTCCTGCTCTGCCCAGGCGCCGTCCAGGCTCTGTTTTCAGTTTGGGTTTGTCATCGTGCGACACACACGCATTTCTCTGGACATCCATCCCCAGCACGTGAGCACAGGGACGGGACTTAGACGTGTGACTCTCCTCGCCGATCCGGGCCTCGGAAACGAGGCTGCCAGCCTGGCCTCCCGCCGCTCGAGAGTTGGGGTGCAGGCCTCTGCCATGAGGGGAGCCTCGGACAAGCGGAGGGGGTCCGTGAGAGGCTGTGTCTCAGGGCTCTCTCTGCAAGTAGCGTCTTCATGTGGAAACTCAGCAAAGGCTGCCCTCCAGGGAAATGGGTGGTGAATGGTGCTGTTAGGGTCGGCAGAAGCCGGAGCCACCCCCACACCTAAACCTGAAGCCCAGTCTTTCTCACGCATCGCGCCGATGGCGTGGATTTTTTTTTGTAAGGTGGAAGATCATGGCCTGTGTTTGGCTTGGGAGCTGCCCAGTGCTCGTTACCACGGTCCGTGTCCACACCATAGCCTCTCGGAAATCAGCTGGGTTGATGTTCTGCCGTCTTTTTATAAAGTTATTCATATTATTATTATTTTGGGGGGCTCCAAAATCACTGCAGATATTGACTGCAGCCATGAAATTAAAACACGCTTGCTCCTTGGAAGAAAAGTTATGACCAACCTGAAGTGAAGTGAAGTTGCTCAGTCGTGTCCGACTCTTTGTGTTCCCATGGACTGTAGCCTACCAGGCTCCTCCATCCATGGAATTTTCCAGGCAAGAGTACTGGAGTGGGTTGCCATTTCCTTCTCCAGAGGATCTTCCCAACCCGGGAATCGAACCCAGGTCTCCAGCATTGCAGGCAGATGCTTTACTGTCTGAGCTACCAGGGAAGCAGTTAGCATGTTAAAAAGCAGAGACATTACTTTGCCAATAAAGGTCCGTCTAATCAAGGCTATGGTTTTTCCAGTAGTCAAGTATGGATGTGAGAGCTGGACTATAAAGAAAGCTGAGCACTGAAGAATTGATGCTTTTGAACTATGGTGTTGGAGAAGACTCTTGAGAGTCCTTTGGACTGCAAGGAGATCCAACCAGTCCATCCTAAAGGAGATCAGTCCTGGGTGTTCATTGGAAGGACTGATGCTGAAGCTGAAACTCCAATACTTTGGTCACCTGATGTGAAGAACTGACTCATTTGAAAAGACCCTGATGCTGGGAGGGATTGGGGGCAGGAGGAGAAGGGGCCGACAGAGGGTGAGATGTCTGGATGGCATCACCGACTCGATGGACATGAGTTTGAGCAAGCTCTGCGAGTTGGTGATGGGCAGGGAGGCCTGGCGTGCCGCAGTGCATGGGTTTGCAGAGTCGGACACGACAGAGCGCCTGCACTGAACCGATTACCAGCTTCGACCGCTCTGGTCCCCTCTCTGAACGGAGCGTGTGCGTTTACCCTCAGCTGTGGGCTCAGGCTGGGCTGACGGACGCGGCGGCGGGTCTCGGGCCTGCCTGGATCCTGGCTCCGGCCCTGCTCGCTGGGGCTGGGTGTGGGGAGGGCCGCCCCGCCGCTCACCTGCTCGGTGATGACTGCAGGGAGGCTCACAGAGGAGGAAATCGCTAAGTGAATGGTCCTGCCCTGAGGAAGTGACCCCGGGGGCGGGGGCGGGCGCGGGGTGTCCAGAGCCACCGCCACGTCCAAAATCACGTGACCCTGAAGCCAACGAGGTGGGCAGTAAGGTCCTCTGTCTTTTTCCTTTTTAAAAGGAAATCTGGGCTTCAGCTGCTGTGCTGCCTCAGCCGCCGTGTTGTCTGCGGCGCGGGGCCGGTTCTGCAGGTGGGAGCAGGCGCGGGCGCCACCGGCCGTCCCGCCGAGGCTCGAGGTGAGACGGGAGGCCTGCTTGTGTTCGGGCCTGTGAGGACCCTTGGGGGCCTGGATACGCAGCGCCGCGACCGGGGGCCCGAAGAGCCGGGCGTGGCCGGGGCCGAGGGGTCCGGCTGGGTTTCGAAAGCTCAGGCCCAGGCTGGCGCTCCGGCCGTGTGGTGTGAGGCCGGGACCGGGGCCGTCTGAGTTAGGGAGCCAGGCCCAGGCCGCGCCACCGGGGTCGGGAGGTGTGGCAGGTGCCTTAGAACCTCTTTTGACCGCTGAGAAAGCTAACTTCTTCTGGCTTTGCTTCTAGGGCTTTCTTAAGCCTATTGCTGGCTACCTGTGAAGCTGGGAAGTGGCCTGGAGTGACTGGGTAAAGGTCTGGAATAGGATCGGGCCTAGTCGATATCCCTTGTAGTGGAGAAGAGTTGATAGTGGGCCGAGAGAGAATATTTAGCATTAGAGGTTCAGTATTTGAAAATTAAAATCACAGAGTGAAGAATGGAGTGTGGAGAATGTGCTAGAACGCGCAGTGGCTGAAAAACTTAAGCCCTAACATTTAATTACATCTCTTCATGGATGAGGGTAAGTAATCTGGTTTGTAAATTCAGAAAGACTGGCAGGAAAGCACCCAAAAGCTCCCTGTGGGCAAGCCGTTTTATAATGGAGGAAACTTGAGGCCCAGAGCTCTGAAATGATTGGCTCAAGGTCATGGGATTCCTTTTATGATCACGTTGGAGTTTTAGTTGCGGCAGCTTTGATGTAGTGGTTGAGGCTGAAGCCCTGGCTCAGGTCGTTAATCTGTCCTTTGCTGCTGTATGGACTTAGGCAGTTTTCTTCTCTGTACCCCAGTTCTCTCCAAATAATGGATATAAAATCTGGTGGTGGTGGTGGTAGAACTAAACTGTGTATAAAAAAGGACAGGAGACACTTTCACTACTTGATAAATGATTTAAATAAATTAAGGCCTGAATGATGTTGGTCCACTACACCGACATCCTCCTTTTTGAGTTGGTTAAGTCCTGGGACCTGAAGTCACCTTTATGGATATAGGAGGAAGAAACTGGACTTTGTGGATTAACTGCTGGGTATGACACAATTGAATGCTGGCTGGAGGAAGTTAAACTGAGCTGAATATTAAAAGCTTGGGAGGACAAAGGTGAGCCACAGTTAGGTTTCTTTACCTCTGAGTTAGGAAATGGAACATTTTGCTACATTTTGCCTAATTTTTTAATAAGAATTAGTGGGTGGGAGGATTTGTTTTGTTTCGAGTTTTTTTTTTTTTTTTAAAGGGAGGAACTGTATTGATTTTTATTTATTTATTTATTTTTTTTTAAGGTTTTAAAGTTTTCTCTTTGAAAAGATGGTATCTTACAGTACATACAAAAATACTCTGAAAGTACATACGACTTCATTTACAAAACACTGAATCAACATATTACAAGAATTACATGGTTATGGATTTCAATAAATGGAGCATGCATTCATGAAACTTAAAAAATATTAAGAAAAGGACTGAAAAAAGCAGTGTAAAAAAAGACAACTCATATTTAAATAAAAATTACAAAGGTCCTGAGCCAATTAATGGTTGGTAACAATGTCATCAAAAATGCCTTTAGGTCTCAATAAAATCCACTGCTTATTTCTGCATGCCTAGTCCGTGAAGAAACTGAAGTTGTGGGGGTACGTAATGGTCAGGAATTATCATGCCAAGTTAAATTGTACACGTCAAAAATACAAGTTTGCCATACTTAAAGTATCTTTATTGGTGATGCCGGATTGAGTTGCTCCTCAGTAAAAAATACCAGTCAACTAACAAGAATGGCATGAGATAGGTTATGTAACAATTTCACCGTTCATATACTGACTTTCAGTATTCTGGTTATATTTTGATTCTTAATAAAGATGCATTTCAAAGGCCTCCACAGGAGGCAAAATATAGAGAATTTATGGTGCCCAACTCTTATGTAATCACTGGACTAATCCTCCCTGGTAACTATGCAACATTTGGACAGAAAGGCACAAAAAAATAAAATTTAAATATTTCATGTGCCAATCTGAGAAAAAATAATTTAAATCAACAGAATAGACAAAAAGTACATCTACACAAATGAGGAAAGCAGAAAAGATACCTCACATTCATTTATCTCAGGTTTCACAAAGTGGCTTCAATGCTAAAAAAGCCTTGTAATTTTCCAACTGTATTGATTTTTAAAATCATTCTGTGTGTCAGTCTTTTAACAGCGATGTTTAAGTGCCATGAATAGAATCACTGCTGAGTTGTCCATTTGCCGTAGTAAGAGCGGAGGTAGAGAATTGTGTGGGAGTTCTGTGCACCAGCTCAAGCAGACAAGTCAGGGAACTGGGTTATGGGATGGCCAGAGTGAAGGTGTACTGGAGTGGTGCACAGCAAACGCATTTCCTGACCTGTCTGATGATGAGTGTCAGCAACTCCCTACCTTGCTGTCTTAACTCAACAGTGTCAACTGGCACATTATCTTCCAAGGACCTTGCGGGGTAAGCGTCTGACGGAAGCGTTGCTGCAGTTTTGGCAATCATGCTCTTGCATCCTTTCAGTTACAGAGTTCACTTTCTCTGAGTGATAGCTTACGGGGATGAAGTGACAGTCGGTAAGCACTAATGCAGACTGGAGAGACTTGAATTCCAGGCCCAGCGAGGTAACTAGCTTAATCAGATACGTTAGCTTCCGTATCTTTAAAACAGAATGAGGAGTGCCCAGGATACCTTACCATTAGGGATCTTTTAGGAGAGACAAATAAGATGGTGAACATGAAACTACTTTGAATGGCATAATGCAAGTAGAAGAACTGGCAGCTCATAATAACTCCTAGGAAATAATAACAGTGCCTGAACATAGTTACAACCCGTACAGCTTACTGTAGAACTTTGTCAGAAAAGTATAGGCTGAATGCTTTGTTAACTATAACAGATAAGTTTAAAATTAAGCTTAACTCTTAAAATTATTTGGAGAATTTTATTTTTTTAAGTAACTTAGAATCTTCAGCGGTGTTTTGGGAATCCACATTTTAAATTTACTTAGTTTATACGAAAAAAGAAAGTGCTATGGAAAGATACATTTTAATGTTCCTGTCAATCGAAAGCAAAATTCAGAACTGAACTAGGCAGTGTACATCTATTTTTTTAGTGGATGAGCATTTATAGTAAGGACCACTTTGAATTTTATCCCACTATTAAGTGCTTTTATATTTTGACTAGAGGTAGTGATACCAGAGGAATGGAAAGTAGTAGTAAAATGGTTATCTGTGACTGGAATAAAGTTCCTTTTAAGTGGTTCCTTTTCAATCTAAGACTTCAAGTTTCTCATCACCGTTAAAACTGAGTGTTTGAGGACCATTAAAGCTTAAATGGTGTTGCTGGGCAATACCTAGTAATAGTAGAAATCACTGATAATGTTGCACATTACTGTAAGCCAGGTACTGATATAAACACGTTGCATGCATTTTGTTTATATAACTATCTAAGAAGTACACAGTGTTGTTATTTTAGAGATGAAGAAACAGAGGCCCCGAAGTTACGAATTCACCCAATATGCCAAGTTAAGTAGAAGATTAGGGATTGTGAGCTTCTGAGTTCCTGCTTGTTGTTGTGCAGGAACTAAGCTGTGTTTGACTCTTGTGGCATCATGGACTGTAGCCCGCCAGGCTCCTCTGTCCTTGGGATTTGCCAGGCAAGAATACTAGAGTGGGTTGCCATGCCCTCTTCCAGGAGATCTTCTCAACCCAGCAGTCAAACCCACATCTCCTGCTTCGCCAGTAGATTCTTTACCACTGAACCACATGGGAAGCCCAGTCCTGCCCATTAACCGTACTTTTAACTGTGACCTTGGGCAGTTTAGCCTTGGTTTCCTCATGTGTCACATGGGATGATAGAGCCTCCTGGGGATCTTATGAAAATTAAATTAGACAATCTAAAGGCGTCTAAAATCAATGAGACATAGCATTTTAAAAAGGTAGATAAATGGATAGCCTACATGAAGGAAAGACTGCCTCATTTTTTAATTACATAAAAAAAAAGGAAATCTGGGGAATGCTGGGCACAGCCGCACAGGGACTCATGAAGTGCTCACGAGCTGCTTACTGTTCTGAGCCATCACGCTGACGGTTCATGAAGTGACTGCAGCCAAACGGTTGACAGCCTTTTCTCACTCCTGGCATCCAGTGCATCGGGTGCGAAGCGTGACCCGGGGTTAAGGATCCGTGTCCCACGTGCCTGAGCATCCATGAAGAATCCCTGCAGCATCCCGACGGGGCTGTGGTGACAAGCCCCGGCCTCTGAAGCACGGGAAGGTGCAGCCCCGGTCTGCTCCCCCAGGCGTTTCTGCAGTCACTGCCGAACCTCATGGGTGTGAAGTGTGAAAACGGGGTTCCCGTGCTGGGAAATGCAGTGGGTCTCCCCACACCCCCAGAGGGTGCTCAGTGAGCTTGAATTCCAAGGATGCAGAGCAGGGCCTTGCTGGGCCTGTTGTCTTCAGGGTCAGGGCTTGGAGAGGGGCCACCACCTGGGCCCGAGGGCTTCCTGCAGGGAGCCTGTCACCGGGTGACAGGCCGGTGACGGGACCCTTGGGGCCGCAGGGCATGGTAGACAGAGTGTCCTCTAGTGTCTCCGAAGTCCAAATGTAGAGACCCCGTGAGAGGGGCCAAGCTGTGCGTCCACCCTTGTGACATCCTTGCCGTCCCCTCTTCTTTGCTTCTCAGCCCCTCCGTGCTGTATATGACCCGTTTCTTAGGCTCCAACCTAAGGCTTTCTCTTAATCCTTAAAAAAACTCTTCTAGCTCAGCAGTAAAGAAAGTTTCTAGCGACAAGAGATTCCATCGAAAACAGTCTGTGGATATGTTACCATTTGATTCGTGTTGCAGGTTCTCATTCGATTGACTGTGCAACAGCCCACGGCCTCTTGGAGCCACATGTTTCCACCACAATCTCATCCTCTGTGTCGCCACATCACCGCTTCGTCACCGTCAGGGACGCTCAGGTTGCCTCTGGTCCCTTTCAGATCCTCAGAGCCAGTGAGCTTCCTCTCTGCCAGGCCTGAAAGGGATGCTTGGAGGTCTGGTCTGGCTGCAGGACACAGATGGAATGATACAAGGCGGATGACAGGGTTCACAGAGAAGACACAGCCCCAGAGAGGAAGATGGAGAGGGCAGATGTGGGGGACACGGGGTTGGTTACCCCCAAGCCGGCTGCTGGTGCTGGGCCCAGGGGTGGATCCCTCCCTTGGGGACTGAGCTTGAGGAGATCGAGAGGAAAGACCTGAAAGCCTTGTAGGGGCCGGGATCCCCGGTGGGCAGAGGGGAGTGGGCCTCAGAGCACGTGAGTGGGCTGCAGGGGGTCAGAGGTCTTCCCTGCCGTGACGACAATGCCGTCCTGCGCCGACAGCTGCGCGTTAACCGTCCACGCAGTGAGGGCGCACCTGAGTTGGAGAAGCAAGCCCTCTTCCTCCTCCTTCAGCCAGGAAGCTGTGGGGCCAGCCCCCAGGATCCGGCCTCTGCCCGGGGCCCACCCCACTGGCACAGCCTCCCCGGGAGGCGCTCATGTCCATTGACCCGGGACACCGTCCTTATCCAGGACGCCGGGCACCGTCACCCTCAGCATCAGGGCCCCTCTCCCCTCCTCTTCCAGAGTGTCCTCTGCAGCATGGGGGTCCTGGGGGGCGCCCCCTCCCCGGCGAGGTCCCGCTTGCTGCAGGACCTTCTTACTCCCAATCCCCAGGCCCGTGTGGGCCTCTGTGATGCCCCCCCAAGGACGAAGATCCAAGCAGGCACTCCCTGCTGTCCTTGGGCGCCCGGGACCTGGCCGAGCTGGAATCTGAGACCAGGTGAGAAGGTCGCACAGCTGAGGTCAGAGGGCAGCCCTTCCCCAGGACACGCGAGGCAGAAGAAAGCTTCCCTGAACTGTTGTGACCGTGGCCTGGCTGGGCTCAGGGCCTCTGTGGCCCGGGGATGCCCCAGCAGGATGGAGGGCCTATGGCCCAGGATGGGAGGCTCCTCCTTCATTCAGACCTTGTCCTGCGGCTTTAAAATGTTTAAAATGTTTGTGATGCGCCACTCTTCCTTTGCTCACTTTTAACAAATGTTCAGTGTCATCCCTAATCTCCTGTCATAATTGTATACTTGTTTCCTTAAAGAAAGTGCATTGTAGTTCAGTTGCTCAGTTGTGTCTGACTCCTTGTGACCCCATGGACTGCAGCACACCAGGCTTCACTGTCCTTCACCATCTCCTGGAGTTTATTCAAACCCATGTCCATTGAGTCGGTGATGCCATCCAACCACCTCATCCTTTGTTGTCCCCTTCTCCTCCTGCCTTCAATCTTTCCCAGCATCAGGGTCTTTTCCAATGGGTCCACTCTTCCCATCAGGGGGCCAAAGGATTGGAGCTTCAGCTTCAGCAGCATTCCTTCCAATGAATATTCAGGACTGATTTCCTTTAGGATGGACTGGTTGGATCTCCTTGCAGTCCAAGGAACTCAGGCTCCTCCATCCATGGGATTCTCCAGGTAAGAATACTGGAGTGGGTTGCCATTCCCTTCTCCAGGGGATCTCCCTGACTCATGTATTGAACCTGCGTCTCTTACGTCTCCTGCATTGGCAGGCATGTTTTTTCACTGCTAGCACCAGCTGGGAATCTCTAAGAAAGGGCATACAGTTGCATGAACTCCAGGCCCCACGAGACACAGAGCAGCCACCTCTCCCCAGTCCTGACAGCGGGCATGTGAAGGGCCCTGGGGACCCTGGACAGCCTCTCCTGGTGGGACGGGCTGTGCAAGGCCACTGCTGCAGGGACATCTTCTCCATAGCTTTGTCTCCAACATCTAACGGGTCTCACCGCTGCGTAGAAGGCGCATTAAAAACAGCGGCGCCTGGGGGCGGGTGGAGTGACGATGGGACCGGGCCAGGTGTGGGCGAGGGGGCTGGCCAGCTAGGGCTCTTCCTTGGTGCCCTGAGCTGGTCCTGAGTCATCCCCCAGCCTCACGTTTCTGCCCAGGGCGCGTCCTGAGCCGGGCGGCCTCCCCACAGGCCGAGTCTGCCTCTGCCCGGCTGTGCCAAGGGTACTGTGTTGTGGGCACGCACCAGCTGCAGGTGGAGAGGCTGCCCGGGGCGTCTGCCCCCGGCCCCACGGTCCCCGTTCCGGGATCCCAGGGCCGGGCTGTCCCGGCAGCTGGCCCTCCTGCCAGGGTGCTGTCCACACCCTGGAAGCCACTCTCCGACCGACCGTCCGTCTGCCCCTCGGGGTGAGTCCTTCAATGCTGGCCAGGGGACTGCCACTGCCCGCCTGTCCCCTCGGGGTGAGTCCTTCAATGCTGGCCAGGGGACTGCCACTGCCCGCCTGTCCCCTCGGGGTGAGTCCTTCAATGCTGGCCCAGTGGCCGTCCCTGCCTGCCCAGGGCCTCCTCACCAGCTCACTTGCTTCTCATTCTGCTCCAGAAAATCAAGAACCTGCACTGGATGCCTGCCAGTGTCCGGGAGCAGATTTTGTCACCAGCGGCTCTAACCAGCTTCTCTCTGGGGGAGGCTCCTTGAGACGTCAGCGGCTGTCAGGACTCCCCGCGTGGTTGGGGGATGGCCCCACACTCCACCTCACAGCTGTGGGGAGACAAATCTCCGATCCTTGGGGGCCATCCGGGTCCTCCGAGCATCTGCTTCCCACAACTGACGGGGGCCCTCGGGGGGTGGGCCCCTGAGGACAGGGAGGCGTGTGTGTGTCCTTTACTGGCTGTTCCAGCGTCTGCCAGGCCCTTGGGAGATGCTCGGCCAGGCGCTTTGAAGAAATGGATTAGAATACGCGTGAGCGGGGGGTGAAGAGAGAGCCTGTGATGGTAGTGCCAGGCTGAGAACACACAAAACGCCCGGAATTGTCCCCTTCACAGCGGTTAAAATGGTGAACTTTATGTTTATTCTGCTGCTGCTAAGTCGCTTCAGTCATGTCCGACTCTGTGCGACCCCATAGACGGCAGCCAACCAGGTTCCCCTGTCCCTGGGATTCTCCAGGCAGGAACACTGGAGTGGGTTGCCATGTCCTTCTCCAGTGCAGAAAAGTGAAAAGTGAAAGTGAAGTCACTCAGTTGTGTCGGATTCGTAGCGACCCCGTGGACCGCAGCCCACCAGGCTCCTCCGTCCATGGGATTCTCCAGGCGAGAGTGCTGGAGTGGGCTGCCATTGCCTTCTCCTTATGTTTATTCTACCGCAATTTTAAAAAACCCACAAGTGAATAAGTGACCAACTGTGGCAAGTGTGACCCAAGTAGCTCAGTCAGTAAAGAATCTGCCTGCGGTGCAGGAGAGCCAGGTTCAATCCCTGGGTTGCAAAGATCCACCAGAGAAGGAAATGGCAGCCCACTCCAGTATCCTTGCCTGGAAAATCCCATGGATAGAGGAGCCTGGTGGGCCGCAGTCCATAGGGGTTTGCAAAGAGTCAGGCAAGACTGAGCGACTAACACCACTCCCCTATAACCTCGAAGTTAAAAAGCTGGAGGTCACCGTCGTGCCTTTTGGGTGGGGAGGGCTTCTGAGTACGTCCAGCAGAAGCGCCAGCCAAACCGACACCAGCGCGCCGAGGCAAAGCCGCGCAGTGCAGGGGTGTGCCTGCTGGGCCAGCGGTTAGGACTGCCGCTCCCAGCGCAGAGGGCCTGCGCTCAGTCCCCAGCTGGGGAACGAGATGCCGCACACCGCAGCTAAGACCTGGCACCGCCAAATGAATAAATAAAAACAGACTATTAAAAAAGCATGTTAAAAGTTTCACTGTAGACTGGCTGAAAATAAAAGCCACAACATGGCAAAAAACAAAAAATAGTGACAGTGAGCATCAGGGGAAAAGGGTCCGCACTGTTTGACAACGTAAAGACTGTCTACACGGCTCTGAGAAAGAAAAGTGAGTGAGGAGAGCCCAGCACAGACCCTGCCTGGAGGGGGAACCCACGGGGCAGGAGAGATGAGGAGATGCTGGAGCTCGTGGACACTCGGGAGACGCACCCCAGGAGGCGGCGTGAGAGGGGCTGGCGGGGCGGCGCTTCGGACCGACCGGCCAGTCGGGCCATGGTGCTCGGAGGGAGGAAGGCCCCTCGGGAGCCAGCACGCAGACACCCGGTCAGCGGAAACGCACGGGCCCTGCGATGCAGGAACACACAGAGGAGCCCTTGGCCGAGAAGCGCCTGGTTTGGGAACTGTGAGACGCGAGGGTCCCTCTAAGAGGGTGGTGGTGAGGGAAGATGCTGGCGGGGAGCCCTGAGCCGGCAGGCGGAGAACCCGGAGCGCTGGCGTCGGTGCCCGCCGGGCAGAGCCTGGGCGCTGCAGCCGAGCGGGACTGTTCCTCTTTTCCAGAAGCACCAAACTGTCACAGGGTTAGGACTGAAGAGGAGGGGCAGGGCGCCAGGGGCTCTCGGGATGGGACTTGGGGACCTTCTAAGACATGGATTGGATCCTGACGAGTAGACACGGCAGGTGGTGAGACACCGTTTGGAAAGTTGAAGGGACATAAAGGACCCTGGGTTGCGGGCGGGGGGTGGTGAGAGTGGGGACAAAGGCGGATGTGAGGTGGGGGGTGGGCGGCATGAGGCTGGGCCCCAGGCCCAGGGTGGGTGCTGAGAACACCCGTGGTGCATATGTAATGAGGAACGTGAACTCTAGGCGCTGAGCTTTAGTCTTGTGATACTGAAACCATGGTGTCTCAAACTTTTACTCTCTGCCTTTGGATCTTATTTTCTGTTTGAAGGTAAAATGCTGACGGCAGGCTGTCGGACGGCTCACGGCATCTGCATGCAGCTCTGTGGCCAAGCTCTTTCCCTTTCAGAGCAAAACTGAAGGGAACGCGCCTCTCATTTCCCCGGGGCTGTGCTTCTGGTGGCGTCAGCACCTCTGTGGTCCCCGGCCTTCCATGGGGTTTGTAATGTCAGCAGACAGATTATTTCAGGCTGACACTTGGCACAGACGGTTCTCAGCCAGATGTGATTCCGACGGGGAGGGTTTGGTCTCGGTTATTCCATGCGGCATTGTTGAAGGAGAGGAAGAAAATCAGCTCCTGGTTCCGCGGTATTTTAATTTTAGATGGAACTGCGGTGACCCTGGCCGGCAGTGAGCTTTCAGTGTGGACGACATTTTGGCGACTTAGGGAAAAGGAACCTCATTCACACAAGCCAGGGCTTTGGGAATGGCCGCCCCGCCTTCCCGCCGAGGCTGGGCTGTGATGCTGACCCAGCACGGCACACAGATCCCTCTGTCCCCCGCTGGACGCCCGCCAGGCGGCCACGGTCTGCGGAGCAAGACCCTCAGTGTGGGAGCCCCGCTCAGCCCTGGAAACCGCGGCTCAACAAAAAGCCTCTGTTGCCCTCGCGACGGCCGGCCTGGGCTGCGGGGACGGACTACAGATGGACCAAGAGGAAGCCCCCGTAATTAGGTCAGCCTGGCGGGGCCGGGGGCACCCTCTTCTGGTTCACCGAGTGACCCCGAAGAGGGGACCCTGCCCTGTGACTGCCTCCAGCACCGAGGAATTCGTGACCACCTTTCCTTTCCTTCCTGGGGCGCTCTGTCCGTGCGGAGTTTTTGGGAAGGGGGCACTCGTGTGCCAGCCGTGAGAGGCCCCCAGACTCGGGACCGGGGCGTGGCCTGGGCAGAGCTCCAGCCCTGAGGATTTTGTGTGACTGCGGCATTCAGTTCTCAGTCCTCTTTTGTCTTCGAAACGTCAGCCATTTGGATGGTGCTTGGAGGGAAGCGGGGATCCGCTGACCCCGAGAGGAGGGTGTCCCAGGGTGCCTGGACCTCAGCCACCTGCTGAGTGAGCTCGGGCCTCCTGCTCTTCACCCGCCCCGGGGGGGAGGGCCCCGCCCTGCGCGGGATCCGCCCCGCCCCGCCCTGCGCAGGTGAGACTGCTGCGCGCGGTGGGTCCCAGGCACGGCCCTCGACCAGGGCTGCGGAGGAAGCTCTGTTGTTCCTCATGGGACAACACAGGCGTGTCTGGAGGGTTCTAGAGCCGGGAGGGCGCCAGCTGCGGACACATGGGGCTGAGCGGGTGGGCTCCTGCTGGCTCCCGGATGGGGTCCTGCTGTGTCTGGCCTTAGAACACCGGGGTCTTGTCGGCCACCACCCGGCCTTTCTGGGCTGTCCAGGTGCCCAGTCAATGCAGCTCGGTTCCCGGGAGGGGACAGCGCTTCTCTCAGGGCGGAGGCTGCTGGGGCCCCTCGCCAACTCGGCAGGGCAGCAAGAAGAGAGGGCGCGCTTCCTCTGCTCCACTGGGACCCTGTCCTCAGAGTGATACCTGGCCGGGCCGCGTGGGGCAGAGCTAGCTGCGGGCGGTCAGCTAGGGCTGGGGAGCGCTGAGGCTTGTCTGCCAGCTTTCCTCTCCCCTCCCCTCCCCTTCCTTCTCCTTCCTTCCTTCTTCTCTTTTCATCCCAAGTTTCAGGGAGGTTACTTTCATCCCTTCCTGCCTCTCTGAGGGTGGGCGGACGCAGGACGGCTCTGCGTGGTTTTCAGGTGGGTGTTCCAGAGGTGGGTGGGTGTGTTCTGTACGTGACCACCTGGGCTCCGGGGGAGGACAGGAGCCTGTGGAGGCGGGGGATGATGCGCAGTCCACGTGCGGAGCAGCAGCCCTGCAGACCCAGCCTCCGGGCCTGGGCGCAAGCCAGGCGGGCTCCCCGCGAACCCCTAACCCAAGCTGGTGACCCACCCCTCGGTGTCCGGCCCCCTGCCTTGACATGTGTGTGGATTTTCACCGTGCTTTCAAGGCTCCCCGGAAGGCAGAGCCCGGGGGGCTGGTGAGAACACCCCCATGGGCTTGAGGCCCCATCACTTCTGATTTACCTGCCGGCCACTCCTTTCTGACAGCCCCGTGTGGCATCCACGTGGCTGCGACTTTCTCCAGGACAGTCTAG